CGGTGGCAGACTGGTTAGGGCAGCTGGATCCCACATGGCTGGCTGTGTGGTTTGAATCCCAAACCTGGCTGCTTGAAAAACCATGCCAGGCCAGCAAGTGGCATGGTAATTAAGCACTAGACACCCACATGGCTGACTGGTGTGAATCCTGGGCCTGAAGACTAGCTTTCTCACTTTCTCTCTCTCTGGTTAAATTTTAAAAAATAATAATGACAATAATACATTAAATGAAATTAAATCAAATACACACACACACAACACACACACATTTTTAAGACAAACAAAAACCACACTGGGTTCATGTGTGTGTGTACCCAAAATCCTGAGAGGAGACCAGAGAATAGGCTGTGGTGTGTCCATCCCCTCTAGGGGATGCTTTCTCACTTTTTCTCTCTCTCCCCCCAGCAACTGCACATGCCCTATACCAAATTTAAAAATAAAACCTGTGGGGACCAGCAGTTAGCGACATAATGGCTATGTTGCTGGACTCCCATGTAATTGACCACGGTACGAGTCCCGGACCTGGTGGCTTAAACTCACTCTGGGCACATGTGCGTACATGCCCAAGATCCCGAGAGGAGATTGGAGGAGAAGGGATTGCGGCATGGCCATCCCCCCTGGGGGGTTATTTCTCGCTTTCTGTCTCTCTGTCTCTGTCTGTCTGGCGAGTGCACGCACCCTATAGCAAAAACCTCTCCAAAAGAAAAATAAAAAACCTGTGTGTTGGCCCTTCAGTGTAGCTGAGTTTTAATAAATAATAATAGAAATTCATGAAATATGGTCATATTTTTATAAATCAGGGTCATTAATATTAAAAATGTTACATTTATTTTGTCGATTTAATGGCTTACCTTTATTACTTTCCAGAAGTGTTCCTATTTCTTCATTATTTTTTGGTTTGGAAGATACTTTAAAATAATTGGCCAAAGTTTTAGGAGGAAGTGTTCGCTTTAGTCCACTACTTTTTGGTGATGGAGGAAATTTCCTTGGCGATATAACAAGTTTCTTAGGGGAGTTTAATTTTTCTGCCAAAAATAAATTTCATTTAAAGATAATCACTGAACTCCCACATGGTGGACCGTGGTTTCACTCTCAGACCTGGTACTGAATAAATATCCTAAAACTTAATACAGGTGGCAAAATGGTTATCCATATCCTATATTTCTATTCTTGTCGTTTAAAGTCAAAGACACAATTTTCCTCCATTCTTACATTCATATACTCTTTACACTCAAATATTACTATATCGTTGCATTTATTCTTCCAGTACAGAAGGTTAAAGAACTCATTTGGGGAACCAGCAGATGGCATAATGGTTATGTTGCTGGACTCCCATATAGTGGACTACAATTTGAGTCCTGGACATGGTGGTAAAACTCATGCCAGTGTGTGTGCATGCCCAAAGTCCTGAGAGGAGAATGGAGGAGAAGGGATTGCAGTGTGGCTATCCCCTTGGGGGGTGATTTCTTGCTTTCTGTCTCTCACTCTCCAATGAGCACATACGCCCTATAGCAAAAAAATCTCTCTTAAAAAAAAAAAGTCATTTGGAAAAGACACTCTTTTGAAAAGAAACACACATTCTTGAAGCAAATAAAATTCATAGTCCCTCCTCTGACTAAAACCTTAGAGTGGGTACTAAACAAAGCACTGAGAAAAGTTGTAAACCATACAAAGTCTGACATGCTACTGAAATGATCAGGAATTGAAAGAAGTTGAAAAACACAATCTATAATGAGGTGAGGGAAAAAATCAACCAATTGAAAGACCAACTCAGTGAGCCAGCAGGTGGCATGATGGATAAAGCACTAGACTCTCACATGACCAACTGTGGTTCCACCTGGACCTGGTGGGTTGTTTTCTCACTTTCCCTCTCCCTCTCTCTCTTTGGTGAGCACATGTGCCCTATAGCAAATAAAATAATAATAATAATAAATAAATAAATCTTAAAGAAAAAAAAAAGTGGGCCAGCAGATGGCATAGTGGTTACATCACTGGACTCCTAAATGGAGGACCACGGTTTGACTCCCAATCTCAGTGCCTTGAAAATCGTGCTGAAATGTGTGTGTGCGTGCCCAAGATCCCAGGGGGGAGAATGGAGGAGAAGGGATTGTGGCATGGCCATCCCCCCTGGTAGGGGCGTGATTGCTCACTTTCCCTCTAACTGTCTCTGTCTCTCTGTCTGGCAAGCACACATGCCCTATAGCAAGAAGCTCTGCAAAAAATAAAAGGAAGAGACCACCAGTTAGCGTAATGGCTATGTCGCTGGACTCCCATGTAGTTGATCACGGTTCCCGCCCCCCCACCCGTGGCGTCCAAAAATGGGCACATGTGCGTGTGTGCCCAAGTTCTCTCGGGATCTTGGGCACACACGCACGGGCATCCGGGGTCGTTTTTAAGCCACTGGGTCCGAGACGAGAGGAGAACGGAGGAGAAGGGATTGTGGCGTGGCCATCCCCCCTGGGGGGGTGATTTCTCACTTTCTGTCTTTCTGTCTGTTTGGCAAGCGCACGCGCCCTATAGCAAAAACCTCTCCAAAAATAAAAAAATTAAAAAATTAAAATAAAGGGAAAGAAAAACCAACTCAGAAATGATGTAGTTGGTAGAATTAGTAGCCAAGTACATTAATAGTTATTACAACTATATCCCATATATTTAAAACCTAGAGCAAAGACTGGACACATAAGTAGAAAAATAGAAGACATAAAAGGGGCCCAAATCAAACTTCTAGAAAAACTGTAGTGGATGCCACTGATAGCATACTAGATATTACAGAAGATAAGTGTACTTGAATAAATAATAACTAATCAAAGTTAACACAAAGAGGAAATACTAAAAGCCTGCACAAAGCACCAACAAGCTGCGAAACAACCTGTGATCTAAACTACCTAAAACTAGAGTTGCCAAAGCAGGGGAGGAGGACAGGAAACAGATTTTAAGAAATAATGGTGGGACCAGCAGTTAGCGTAATGGCTATGTCACTGGACTCCCACATAGCTGACCATGGTTCGAGAACTGGACCCGATGGCTTAAACTCACGCTGGGCCCGTGTGTGTGCGTGCCCAAGATCCCAAGAGGAGAATGGAAGAGAAGGGACTGCAGCGTG